CCGGTAAATCGAGAGCTTCGCCTTTCGACTCAGCTCCTCTTCACCACAACGGTCCGATACAGCGACCGCATCACTGCCAACACTGCACCGATCCACCTGTCAATCTCACGTTCCGTCCTCCCCTCACTCGTGAACAAGACCCCGAGATACTTGAACTCCTCCACTTGAGGCAAAGACTCTCCACCCACCCGGAGAGGACAAGACCACCTTTTTCCGGTCGAGAACCATGGCCTCAGACTTAGAAGAGCATGACCTCACCCACAGTCTTACCCACTCCACAAAACACCCCAAGAAAATCTATTATTACATCAGACTGTCCATGTGAATGTCTGTCCTGATAGAATAATGTTTGAAATAAAACTAACCTTGCATCACATGAATCGTCACATGTTGAGGGACTATTTTCTCATCAGCAGCGGAATTTTACTTTGCCGGTAAGACAGGTGTAGGTGATATCAGTCCGCCGCTGCTGAGTTTTCTATCAGGAAGTACAACTCACTGCTACTGCTGCTCAGACATAAATCCTTCAAATGCAAGGTTAGTTTTACTTCTAAAATTATTCTATCAACACAGATGTTTACATCCGCAGTCTGGTGTAATAATAGATTTGCTTCGGGTGTTTTGTGGAGTAGATAAAACTGTTTTTAGTGGCAGGAGAACTATGGCCATTGAACAATGACGACCTCTGCAAATACAAGGACTGGATTGAATATTTTAAAAAGTGTCTCCACACGTCTCCAACACTCTGGATCACAGAAATGAGGCCCTATGTCCAAAATTCCATACTGTCCCTTTAACTATAGAAGCGCATTTTACATATCTTACCTTAAATACAAAAAAAATGTATTACTATTTTTTTTTATATTTGAAAAACCAATGTCCTAAGAAACATCGTGGTAACTGACAGTGTTGGGAGTAACAGATTACATGTACTGGAGTTATGTAATCAGAGTACAAATTATGAGTAACTGTATTCAGTTACAGTTACTGTTTCAGTGAGTGGGAATTGGATTACAGTTACTTTGTTGAAATAAATGGATTACACAGAGGTATTTTCCTGTTTTCACATTTTGGGCTAAATCCCCCCTTTTTTTTTTTTTTTCAGTAATTCCACTCATTGCTGGAAACTAAACCAGGTCTAAACCAGGTCTAAACCAGGACTAAAACTAGGTCTAAACCAGGACTAAAATCTAAACTAGGACTAAACCAGGACTCTAAACCAGGACTAAAACCAGGTCTAAAACTAGGACTAAAACCAGGTCTAAACCAGGACTAAACCAGGTCTAAACCAGGTCTAAAACCAGGTCTAAAACTAGGTCTAAAACCAGGTCTAAAACCAGGTCTAAACCAGGTCTAAAACCAGGTCTAAACTAGAACTAAACCAAGTCTAAACCAGGTCTAAACTAGGTCTAAAACTAGGTCTAAAACCAGATCTAAACCAGGACTAAAACAGGATTTAACAGGACTAAATCATGCTGTGTGGACGTGTTTCCTCCTCTTCTATCAATAATATTTTTAATACGGTTCAGTAAAGTCTGGGCTTTTTATTTTCTTTTAGCAGAAAAAACATCTTATGTGAAGATTTCCTCGTCTTTGTTTCTCTACAGCAAATCAAATAATCCAAAGTATTCAGATTACATTACTCACTTTAAGTAATTTAATGGATTATGTTACAAACTACATTCTGGGGTATGTAATCTGTAATCTGTAGGGGAATACATTTTAAAAGTAACACTCCCAACACTATTAACTGATCGATGAGGGACTAAAAAGTGTCCCAACTAACCTTTACTTGTTTACATTTTAGAAGCTGTTTCAAGCAACTTATCCTTTTGAGTTTCTCTCCACAGGAAAAGCCCGAGGTCCCACAGAAGATGAAGGAAGTATCAGAGCTGGAATTCTCTGTACCTCTGGAGGAAGAATCTCTGTACGTGGCCTTGTGGGATTTTGACGCCCGACAGGAGCAGGGACAGGAGCAGGGACAGGAGCAGGGGCAGGAGGAAGTGTCCTTTCAAAGGGGAGACCGGTTTAAGGTTTTGGGTCGAAGCGAAGAATGGTGGAAAGTCCAGAAGATCGACCCAAACGGAAAAGTCCTGTCATCTGGGATTGTGCCGTTTAACTACCTCATTGAGTCAGAGTCACTGAAGACAGAACCGTGAGTTTGACCTTAAAGGTTGTATGGAGGATTTTTTTTTTTTGTTTCAAGTTGTCAATGATAGATTATAGATGCAGTAGCCTTGTAATTATGATGACCAAAAAAAAGAGAATAAAAATTCATCAACTCTGGACGTGGTGGGGCTAAACATTTGCCAATAGATAACGACACTGCCTCGTTATCTGTGAGCTGACAGGCTGTCAATCAATCTCCCTACGTTTCTAGTGTAACTGACTTGCCTGCGCCGCCGGTACGTGGTTTACGTACGACTGTCACGCAGTCCACAGACGCAAGACGCACAGACGCTGTTTACTCCACCAACGCAACAGTTCTTAGCGGCTTTTTTTGACCTATATCTTCCTCGCAGTTTGCACAAAGTTTGTTGCAATGGCGACAAGAATCCAGGAGCAGTTCGCCGCAAAAGAAAGTCCGTTTTTGAGGTCGCTGAAAGAAGAAGACAAGGGGAAAAGCAGCGAAGCCAAACTAAGGTGATTCTTATAGATTCATTCCAGCGATGGCGCGACTGAAGCAGACGCAGGGTCTAAAGACTGACGCACTGGTCCACAAATTACTCCTGGACAGGAAACTTCTGCTTATTATGAAAACGTACTTTATTTCCAAGAGCGAGACAAACGTTTTTCAGGACACGAAAGCGATATCCTATGTCTGAAAACGTAATTTTCAAGGCAAAGAAAGAGTCCGCTTGCTGCTGCGTGTTGTAGCTAGTTCATTCGCACTGAATCTCCGCGCAACCTTCTCTGCACCCCTTTCCTGCTCCTCTCCCCGCTGCCCGATCCGCTCTTCCCCCTGCTCCTCACTTCTCCGTCTTGCCTAACCAACACTGTAGTTAGTTGTTTACAAGTCATGTGCAGCACCGGCTGTAAACAAACCTGTTTCTGGCGTAAGGAGGAGGAGGGAGGAGGCGTTTCTACGTAGGAGCTGTAGGGGAGGGGGGGTGGTTTCACGCATGCGCAACATTTGAAAAAGGACAAACAGTCGCTGGATTTCTCGTTCCTTGGAAAATCCTCTATACAACCTTTAAATAATTAAAGCATCAAACAGTTAGAATATTTAGTTTGTAGATGTCAGCCAAATAACATTACAGAGCTTTCAGGTGTTGGCGTCAGGAGTCTTGAGTTTACATTTAAAGAACATTTCACGTGGCACTTCTTGAGTTTTGGAGTCCATGGCGTCAATTGTCAAGGTTGAAAAATCAAAACAAGTTGCAAAATTGACAGTACATCCATCAGTTTGAAGCTCCTCACCTCAAATGCAAAGGCGTCCAACCAGAAGCGTTTGGACAGATTTTGGCGAATCCAAGTGTCATTGGTTCATTTGTTTTTCAAAATAAAACCAAAATAAGAAAATGAAAAAAACAACTGTTTTCTTCATAATTTGTCTCCAAAACCAAAATGAAAAAACAGACACCGATTCGTTTTCTCAGTTTTCGATTTTGTGTTTAAATGAAAAATGGAAAAAAAAAAAAAACGGATAACGGACGTTTCCTGTTTACATGACTAAACCGGGACTGAACCAGGACTGAACCAGGATTGAAACCAGGAAACCAGGACTGAACCAGGATTTGAACCAGGACTGAACCAGGACTGAACCAGGACTGAACCAGGACTAAACCGAGGACTGAACCAGGATTGAACCAGGACTAAACCAGGACTGAACCAGGACTGAACCAGGATTGAACCAGGACTGAAACCAGGACTGAACCAGGACTGAACCAGGACTAAACCAGGACTAAACGAGGACTGAACCAGGTTTGAACCAGGACTAAACCAGGACTGAACCAGACTAACCAGGATGAACCAGGACTAAACCAGGACTGAACCAGGACTAAACGAGGACTGAACCAGGACTAAACCAGGACTAAACCAGGACTGAACCAGGATTGAACCAGGACTAAACCGGGACTGAACTGGGACTGAACCAGGATTGAACCAGGACTGAACCAGGACTAAAACAGGACTAAACCAGGACTGAACCAGGACTGAAACCAGGACTGAACCAGGACTAAACCAGGACTAACCGAGGACTGAACCAGGACTGAACAGGACTAAACCAGACCAGGACTAAACGAGGACTGAACCAGGATTGAACCAGGACTAAACCGGGACTGAACTGGACTGAACCAGGATTGAACCAGGACTGAACCAGGACTAAACCAGGACTAAACCAGGACTAAACCAGGACTGAACCAGGACTGAACCAGGACTGAAACAGGACTGAACCAGGACTAAACCAGACTAAACCGGGACTAAAACGGACTGAACCGGACTAAACCGGGACTGAACCAGGATTGAACCAGGACTAAACCAGGACTGAACCAGGATTGAACTGAACCAGGACTAAAAAGGACTAATCCGGGACTAAACTGGGACTGAACCGGGACTAAACCGGGACTGAACCAGACTGAACCAGGACTAAACCAGGACTGAACCGGGACTAAACCAGGACTAAACCGGGACTAAAACGGGACTGAACGGGACTAAACCGGACTGAACCAGGACTGAACCAGGATTAAACCAGGACTAAAATGAACCAGGACTGAACCAGGACTAAACCAGGACTAAACCAGGACTGAACCAGGACTAAACCAGGACTAAAACCAGGACTGAACCGGACTAAAACGGGACTGAACCGGGACTAAACCGGACTGAACCAGGATTGAACCAGGACTAAACCAGGACTGAACCAGGATTGAACCAGGACTGAACCAGGACTAAAACAGGACTAATCCGGACTAAACTGGGACTGAACCGACTAAACCAGGACTGAACCAAGTTAACCAGGACTGAACCTGGGGACTTTAACCAGTCCAGGACTGGACTGAACCAGGACTGAACCAGGACTGAACCAGGACTTCCAGGACTAAACCAGGATGAACCAGGACTGAACCAGGACTTCCAGTTGGGAGTCCTGTAGGTGCAGCCGCGTAGACTGTTGGGTGATCAGGACTGAGACCAGTCTAGTCCTGGTTTAGTCCTGGTTTAGTCCTGGTTCGGTCCTGTTTCAGTCCTGGTTTAGTCCTGTTTTAGTCTTGGTTTAGACTTGGTTCAGTCCTGGTTTAACAGAATCGTTATTTGTTTGTTTCTTTTGGTTTTGGAGACAAATAATGAAGAAAACAGTTGTTTTTTTCATTTTCTTATTTTTGGTTTTATATTGAAAAACGAATGAACAAATGACACACTGATTCTGACATCTCACTCGTCCTCAGTGTTGTCCACCTTGCTGATGAACTTTACCTTCAGTATTTAAAATTACATACTGAAACTACACTGAATCCAACTCAACTGAACTGAAGAATAGGTCTGTTATCTTTTTTTTTTCTTTTTTAACAACCCCCAGACCCCCCCCCCCCCCCATACATATGGATCCTGTATTTTTGTGTTTGACCCCCATTATAAAGTGGTCTGGAGCTGGTCTGTTTTTTGGAGAATCTGCAAATTAGAAAGGTTTGAGCTGGTCCAGATTCCTAAAACATTTGAACAACAATAGTCATATTTCTTGCAACAAATATTCCATTAAATTCAAACTTCTTCATGTACTCAGGCTGTATTTTTTAGTTCTTTTCTCTTCTTTTGTGCAGGTGGTTTCATGGGACACTGACTCGCTCTGAGGCTGAGTCCATTCTGATGAGTCAAAACCAAATTGGAGCTTTTCTCATTCGACGCAGTGACAAGAACTCGGTGGGATTTGTCTTCTCAGGTAAAAAACACTCATAAATCTGTCTACATATTGTACAGATGTGTAATGTAAGCAGCTCTTGAGGTCCAAAAATGTTCGCTTTGTTCTGTCTGCATCTAAATTTGAAGTGTACGGGAAGCAGGAAGTGCACTGATAGCATGCTAGTGGCTGTTGCTTTACAGTGACGTCAGAACTCTGGTGTCTGAAAGTGGTGGAAAGCACTTAGAAACTTATTGCGGTGAGTAATTAGGATGATCAAAATCAGAATTTATCCCCATTTCTCCCAGTTTGGTCGTCAGTTACACACAAAAACGATTCTCCAGCAGCAGTCGACTACAGATCTAATGTAGAGGTGATGGTGCAAAGGATCCAAGGTTGAAATGACTCTGAGTCAGCCCTTTAAATGTCGAATAAAAATAAAAAATGACTTGATTGATTGCATTTATGTAGCGCCTTTCAAGATACCCAAAGAGCTTTACAGTTCATTATTCAGTCACTCCACACTCAGTGGTGATAAACTACTACTGTAGCCACAGCTGCCCTGGGGCAGACTGACGGAAGCGAGGCTGCCAATCTGCACCATCGGCCCCTCGACCACCACCATCACTCACGCTCACACCACTTTCATACTAGGCAATGTGGGTGAAGTGTCTAAGGACACAATGACAGTTTTTTTGCCACTGGCGCCTCCTGTGGGACCTGGAAGTCCTAGCGTCTCCCAACCAGGTACTGCCCCGGCCCAGCCTGCTGAGCTTCTGAGATCTGACGGGATCAGGCTTTTACAAGCCGGTATGGCCACACTTGAATTAAAGTTTCATTTTGAGAAAAATCTTAGAAATAAGAAAAATCTTAGAAATGAGGAAACATAGAGCTGCAGGATCAACAACATTGACTACTGAGCAAAACTAACGCTATGGTATCCTAATGCTGTCTTGCAGTCAAACTGCACAAATCTATGTGTCTATGCTAATACTGACATCATGAAATTGATTTTAAATTTTAATTGTAGAATCAGTCTGAGTGAACAAGTTCCTTCTGTTTTATTCATGGCCATAACATTAGTTTTGTTCAGTGTTTCACTAATGTTATTTGTTGTTCTCCTTTAAATTTTTCGTCTTTCTTCCCTTTATAGTTTTGGATAAATTCTTCATGTTAGAATGTTTATCCTTTGTGGACCTTGTTTGATGAAGATTTGGAGATGGATCAGGCAGATTTATGAAGCTGAGAGTCGGCGAGACATTTCCACAGACAATTTGCGACAGAAAACCATTAACCAGAAATTCTGGCCATTGTGAAAATGATCTACTCCTCAGAACGTTTAAGTTACAAAATGCAACTGTTGAATGCAAGATTTTCTAATTATGGTGTAAAAAAATAAAAATAAATAAAATCCAATCTCCCTCTTGTTCTTGCACAGTGAACTCTCAGGTGAACCATTTTAGAATCCAGAAGAACCGAGAGAACAACTACCACCTGCAGCAGATGCCGCACTTCTCCAGCCTGAGCGACCTGGTGCAGCACTACGGCCTCCACAGCGTCGGCTCTATGGGCAAACTCACCGAACCGTGCAAGAAAAGACGAGAAAACGCGACGTAACGGGACTCATTCTGCTGCCTGCTTGTGTTTATAGACTCTGCACTATTAAAAGGCCTGGACGTGATTTCAAACCATGAATCAGGAGCACGGTTTAGTTTTAGTGAGCCGTACGAGCGTTCATGGTCGTGTTTATGAGTTTGATTTTCGACAAAAGGTGAGCGGGACTTGCTGAAAAACTGTCGGCTGATGATAGCTGAAGCTTGAGGCTGTAATTTTACGTGTGAGCGACTCGTTTAACAATAAAAATCACCTCACTTGTTGTAGTTTTATGTAACCCTGCTCCTTCTGGTCAGACGATGTTAAAATAAAGCTCAGTATTAAAGCTTCTGATGCAGTGTTGGAAGTAACGAGTTATGAAAGTAAAATAAAAATAAAACGAATTACTGTAATGTGTTGCTTTTTGCTGTAACGCAGTAATGTAGCGTTACAGGGGGAAAAATTGTAATATTTTACTCGGTACAAATGTGAGTAATGCGCGTCACAATGCTTTTTTAACCTGGATTGAAGTGGTGAGTTTTTTCGTTTTTCTTCATACAAATTCGCTAAAATCACGGCGATATCAGCAGCGGTGAAACACCGGAGACACGCCCGTGTAGACTGTTGGGTGACCACGAGAAAAAGGACCGACGCGGAACTCCACGCTCCACGAGACGAATCCCAGCTGACGTCCGATCGCACCGTGCAGACACCATGTTCCACGGGCTCAGGGTTCTCTCAGGGGCAGAACTAGATTCCAAGTTCTAGTCCAAGATTAGTCCTGGTTTAGTCCTGGTTTAGTCTTGGTTTAGACCTAGTTTAGTCTTCGGTTCAGTCCTGGTTTAAACCGAGTCCTGGTTTAGTCCTGGTTTAGACCTGGTTTAGTCCTGATTCAGTCCAGGTTCAGTCCTGGTTTAGACCTGGTTTAGACCTGGTTCAGTCCTGGTTTAGTCATTCAAGTGTTTGTGTGTTTGTTTTGAGCGCAGCTTTGTTTTATTAATGTTCAGGAATAAGTACAATTTTTGTTGTAAAATCCTGCACTCGGCTCCACTTTTCTCATGTTGGACATTTTTCTGATGAGGGTGTCACGGTCAACAGTCAAAACGATCGTCCTTTAAGAGCGTTTGGAAAGAGACAAGTCTTCATTTGTGCTGCTCTGGTGGGAGGGGCCACGTACAGAGACGCTGGAGACGCTGCTGTGATAAACACCACAGAAAATTAACAAGATTTTAATAGAAAATATAATTAAAATATTTTATTATAAAATCAGCTGAGGCCCACACCCCTGATGTAGACTGTGCACCGGCCTGTCTCACTGAATAAATAAACTAAACTGTCTTTGCATGTTCAGAAGTGCGTCCCTAATTCTAACAATGGAATATTAAAAGTCCTAGTTGAAATAATCTAATGATTCTAATGAAGGTGTGTGGAGTGGAGCACTTCTTGTATTACCACATGACATCACAAGGTGTCACAAGTGTTTTCTGTTTGAGAGAAGAACTCAGCCTAAAAATGCAGAGTCCAGGTACATTTTTGAAGAGGCAGAATTTACACAAACTTTTGCAATCTGTTTAAATAAATGTTCAGGTTCTGGAACAAGTGTTTAGTAGTTTTAATCAGAGAATTAAGGTTTTAAAATGAAGATAAGACTGCGGCAAGATGAGACTTTGCTCCTTCAGTGGCAACTTTTGTAAATTTGTGCCGAAATTCAGACTTTAGTGCCAAAGGGACTGAAAAGAAACTGTGACTGGATGTACTGGAGTAGAAGTAGAACACCAGCAAGATGTAATGAGCAGCTTTCACCCCTAGAGGTCGCGGTTGTGTTGATGAAAACCAGAGTATTTCCTGTGACTGTTTTCTGCCGAGCAACATGGCGTAATAATTAACCTTTTTCACAATGGTTAATGTTTTTCTGTGACAAAATGCCTGTTTAAATGTGTGTCGTATTCTCCAGGAGCTTCATAAATCTGCCCCATCACCAAATCTTCAACCAACAAGGTCCACAAAGGATAAAGAATTCACCCACGACGATCCACAACTCAGAATCCACAACTATTAAGGTAAGAAATACAAAAGCTTAAAGGCGAAACAACAATGACGCATTAGTGACACACTGAACAAAACTAACTAAGATTACACACACCAAAATGTAGTTTGTAACGTAATCCATTAAATTACTTAAAGTGGGTAACGTAATCTGAATACTTTGGATTACTTGATTTGCTGTAGAGAAACAAAGACGAGGAAATCTTCACAAAATGATAAAAGAAAATAAAAAGTCCAGACTTTACTAAACCAGATTAAAAATATTATTGATAGAAGAGGAGGAGACACGTCCACACAGCAGGATTTAGTCCTGTTAAATCCTGTTTTAGACCTGGTTTTAGTCCTGGTTTTAGTCCTGGTTTAGACCTGGTTTAGATCTACTTTAGACCTGGTTTTAGTCCTGGTTTTAGTCCTGGTTTAGACCTGGTTTAGATCTACTTTAGACCTGGTTTTAGTCCTGGTTTAGACCTGGTTTAGATCTACTTTAGACCTGGTTTTAGTCCTGGTTTAGACCTAGTTTAGATCTAGTTTAGACCTGGTTTTAGTCCTGGTTTAGTCCTAGTTTAATCCTGATTTTGACCTGGTTTTAGTCCTGGTTTAGATCTACTTTAGACCTGGTTTTAGTCCTGGTTTAGTCCTGGTTTAGTCCTGGTTTAGTCCTGGTTTAGTCCTGGTTTAGTCCTGGTTTAGTTCTGGTTTATATCTAGTTTAGACCTGGTTTAGTTTTCGGCAATGAGTGGAATTAAAGAAAAAAAATAATAATAATGTGAAAACAGGAAAATTCCGCTAAGTAATCCATTTATTTCAACAAAGTAACTGTAATCCTCACTGAAACAGTAACTGTAACTGAATACAGTTACTCATAATTTGTACTCTGATTACGTAACTCTGGTACTTGTAATCTGTTACTCCCCCAACACTGTCTATCGGTCTCTGAATGTTCCTCAGACTTGAACTGCAGGAGCTGGAGGACCTCGATGTTCTTCACACTTCTTCTTTGGGTTTTCCTCAGACTCGTCTCTCGCGCAGCCACATGATCTCAGATGTTCTTCAGACCAGGTCCATACCAGCTCTGTGACCTCAGCTGTTCTATAACTGTGTTAGAAAGGCAGTAGCTTTGTCAGGAGCGCCCTCTAGAGGTGCTTTGAGTTAATGCACGCTTTAGTTCAGAGCGCACGGCACCGCTGTCTTAAAAGTTGTATAGAGGATTTTCCAAGGAACGAGAAATCCAGCGACTGTTTGTCCTTTTTCAAATGTTGCGCATGCGTGAAACCACCTCCCCTCCCCTACAGCTCCTACGTAGAAACGCCTCCTCCCTCCTCCTCTTTACGCCAGAAACAGGTTTGTTTACAGCCGCTGCACATGACTTGTAAACAACTAACTACAGTGTTGGTTAGGCAAGACGGAGAAGTGAGGAGCGGGGGGAGGGGTGTGCGGACATTTCGTTCGCGGACGAGAAGTGAGGAGCAGGGGGAAGAGCGGAGCAGGGAGAGGAGAGGGGAGCGGTGCGCGGAGATTCCGTGCCCGGAGAAGTGAGGATCAGGGGGAAGAGCGGAACGGGCAGCGGGGAGAGGAGCAGGAAAGGGGTGCAGAGAAGAGTGCGCGGAGATTCAGTGCGAATGAACTAGCTACAACACGCAGCAGCAAGCGGACTCTTTCTTTGCCTTGAAAATTACGTTTTCAGACATAGGATATCACTTTCGTGTCCTGAAAAACGTTTGTCTCGCTCTTGGAAATAAAGTACGTTTTCATAATAAGCAGAAGTTTCCTGTCCAGGAGTAATTTGTGGACCAGTGCTTCAGTCTTTAGACCCTTCGTCTGCTTCAGTCGCGCCATCGCTGGAATGAATCTTCAAGAATCACCTTAGTTTGGCTTCGCTGCTTTTCCCCTTGTCTTCTTCTTTCAGCGACCTCAAAAACGGACTTTCTTTTGCGGCGAACTGCTCCTGGATTCTTGTCGCCATTGCAACAAACTTTGTGCGAACTGCGAGGAAGATATAGGTCAAAAAAAGCCGCTAAAAACTGTTGCGTTGGTGGAGTAAACAGCGTCTGTGCGTCTTGCGTCTGTGGACTGCGTGACAGTCGTACGTAAACCACGTACCGGCGGCGCAGGCAAGTCAGTTACACTAGAAACGTAGGGAGTTTGATTGACAGCCTGTCAGCTCACAGATAACGAGGCAGTGTCGTTATCTATTGGCAAATGTTTAGCCCCACCACGTCCAGAATTGATGAATTTTTATTCTCTTTTTTTTGGTCATCATAATTACAAGGCTACTGCATCTTTATAATCTATCATTGACAATTTGAAACAAAAAAAACAAAAAAAAATCCTCCATACAACCTTTAATTGGTTCACGAGGCTCGGGCTTGCAGACACGTATCGTCAGCTAAAGTTGTGCGTTGTTGACAAAAAGTAAGTTTATGGTATTCGGAGCTATGTGGACGTTTTATAAGTCCTTTGTTATTGTTTTACGCATGTCGGGATGTGTTCATATTCCTACAATACCTGTGTAGTTATGTTTATAAGGGAGTGTAACGTAGGTCGACCGTGAGCGGCTTGGGGTTCAGTGAGCAAGGTAAAAAACAAATCCAGACACAGACCGGTACTTGTGGTCCACAGTTTACTTTTGTTTTTTCAATGATTACAAAAGTGCAAGTGCAAAAAGTGCAGGGTGCAAAACAGAGGCAGGCAGCAGTTTCCTCTCCAGCAGCAGAACACAGACTGATCTTGAAGGCGCCTTTTATGCCGGTCCTACTGATTGGATAAAACCACTATGCTAAAACAGGGATGGTTAAAATTATCATTAGCGTAAAACTAAAACCTAAACCTCCATAAAACAACCCAAAACCCAGATAACTATTAAAACTAGTGCTGTCATGCGATTAAAAAAATTGAGAGATTAATTAATTATGATCTGTAATTAATTAATCTAATTAATCTCTTTTTAATCTCACCTAAAAATTGCTGAGAAAAGCTTCAATTTGAGGTATTTTCATTTAAATTCATTATTACATTATTGTGGCAGATCAAAAGACTGATATAGATTTTAAAAAGTGACTTTATAAAGTCATTTATTGTTTAACAAATCTCTCCAAATTGGCTGTTGAGCCCAAGTCTCCATGAATAAGAAACTGTTTGCTGTAAAGTAGCAAAGACGAGGAAATCTGAACATAATAACTTTTGTCGACTTAAAGACAATAAAAAGTCCAGTCTTTCCTGAACCATATTAAAAATATTATTAATAGAGAAATGCTTTCTATATGAGAT